ATACCTAAGATCCTCTCTATAACCCCAGTTTCCCTTTCGTCCATTTTCTTTTCCGTTTGATTCTCCATTATAGTAGGTACGAGAAGAGGAGATACCCATCGAGGAAAGTCCTGCAGCTTCCAAAAAGGAAACGGGCCCTATACAACCACAGTTCTGGGGAACCTCAGCCCGTCTCCGAAGTTGAAACCATGGGGCCCCAGGAAAAGGACCCTTAATCCTGGGATCCTTATATACCTATGATTTACCCTATGTCTCCCCTTAAGGATCCCTAGAATCCCCCGAGAAGACTTAAGCACCCATAGTAGGGGCCCACAACCGTCTCAAGAAACAAGGAATCTAGGGACTTTAGGAGGGACCCCTAATAGGGACCCTTAATCCCATTACCACATTAAACCCCCATAAGCTACAAGGGTCCCTATTAGGGGTCCCTCCTAAAGTCCTTAAAAGGAAGGCTCAGGGTGATGAATTTTCTCTCGGACTTTCACAGAAACATCTGAAGCCACCTGACCCCCACCAAGGCCTGGATGCCAAACTTTGCCAACCCTGAGCCCTATATGATACCCTATATAACCCCCTTTAAGGAGTTTAGACCCTAAACCCTAAACCCAGGGAAGCTGCAAATCATATCCTGCTTCTTTCTCGCAGCGCAGGGATTTTCAGGACTAGATCGGACAGAGCAAAAAAAACTGGGATTCCTGTGAGAAGCACCTCATGGAAAAGACCACTGTGGGCTGAAAGATCCCGTGTCTTCTGTTTCATTGAAGCGCGAACAATTTAAAGCCATGAAACTTAGACCGCAAGGCGCTCTTCTCAAAATGTTGCGCGATTTCTGGTGCCCTTGTCAAAACGGCATGTCCTGTTCTGGGGTACTAACATGTCACCCTAACTGTGGAAACGCCAAAGCTGCCCGAGAAGCCTTAGCCCCAAACCTAACATACCGTCACAGCCATGACTGTAAACACGAAAACTTCCAGGACCATACATGAATGCAGGATTTGAAGAGTGTAGGCAAATAGCAACCCCAGATCATAGCCATGTAATATCTCACAGTCACTCGTACTTACTAGAACAGAGAAGAACACGAGTGGTTCATGACATACCTACCTAGCTCCTGGACCCTAGATCCATCTATCATCCCAGTTCCCCTTTCCTTGTTCATTGTCTTTGCAATGACCAGGCACAAATACGGCATTCCAACTCTAGATCCTGCACCCTAAACCCAAAATCCCAAACCCAAAATCCTAAACCCAAAATCATACGCCCAAAATCCTAAATCCAAAATCCTAAACCCTAAACCCAAAATCCTGAACACTAAACCCAGAATCCTAACCCCTAAACCCAAAATCCTACACCCAAACCCAAAATCCTAAACCATAAACCCAAAATCCTAAACCCGAAATCCAAAATACCCTATATCTTAAACCCCAAGCCCTAAACTGTAAAGGCTGCCAATCTCATGTCTTTTTGAAGCCCGCAGCCGCCCGAGTGCCCTGCCGCCTTCGGATGGGCGCTTTTTGGACCTTGCGCGACTTCGTTAAAGGTTTACGGGATGAGGGTTTAGGGTGTAGGGCTTCGGGTTTAGGGTTTGGCGGTTCATTACTCAGACATTATTGACATTTGTAAATGATGTAACCCTTTGCGGGTGGCACAACATTAGGCGAAAACTGTATCGGGATTTAGCCAAGCCCTAAACCCTAAACCATAAATAGTAGTTCCCATTTTGTTTTCCAATATCCCTATATAACCCCATAAGCACCAAACCACTACTGTTTGGTGCTTATGGGGTTCTATAGGGATGATGGAAAAGAAAATGAAAACTATTGGGATTATAGGTATTATATGGTCTTATGTAGGGATTATAGCGTGTATTTGGGGCTTATATAAGGATAATGGAAAGGAAAATTGAAACTACTATTTATGGTTTAGGGTTTAGGGCTCGGAGTGATGCCATAGTGCCTATTGAGAAAAATATAATCAACAACCGTCGAGGGCCGGGCGGCTAGAATACGGCGCGCAAGGCGGAGAATAATCCTCTTCTGGGTTACCGTTGAGGAACTTACCTGCAGTGATGCCTACCGGCCAACACCCGGACAGAAAGGCGCTGTCTGCCGAGCCATGGAACGGCCGGGACTTGAATTGAGTTTTCACTGTAGGAAAGTGGATTATTTACGACATATCCTTGTTGTGACAGCTTTAGTTTCCGTTTGGAAACAGCAGCACACTTAGCTTTACACCCTGAACCGTCTGCCCTGACAGAGTTGGTCGTGTCCCTTGACCAACTCGCACTGAACACCCCAACCTAGGCAATTAAAACTAAGAAAGCTTGATCCTTCTTACGATAAGAACTAAAAGAAACTTTAAATCTTTACATGGTTGTAACTGGGGCATTTCCCTACCTAAGCCCAAAATTCTGAAGCTCTGAACCCTACCAACCAGTGCATCATCCCAGTTTTCATGGGGATCCTCAGGATAAGATGTTGCTGAAACGGTTTAGGGCTTAGGGTTTAGAATCCCTGTTACTATATACCCCAAAATCACATAATGCCCTTCGTAGGGACTCCTACACTTCGGGCCCTGAATCTTTCAGAAGCCGCCCCTGTGGTTCTCCAAGCTCCTTCACCACTCCACAGCACCTTTATCCTTGGTCATATGAGCGGGTTTAGGGTTTAGGGTTTAGGGGTTTAGGGTTTAGGGTTTAGGGTTTAGGGGTTTAGGGTTTAGGGTTTAGGGTTTAGTCTAAACAAGGGCCCTTAATCATGGAGAATCAAATGGAAAAGAAAATGGAAAATGAAATGGAAACTGGGATTATATAGGGGATTGTAGGGGATTATAGTCTAAACTCCTAGTATCCCCCTTAGTAACTCCTATAGTAGTCCCCTGTCTAATCCCTTTTATAACCCCCCTTTGAGGACTTTAGACTATAGCTCATATGGAAACAACTCCCCACCTTACAGTTCAGTGTTAGGGTTCAGGGTCAGGGTCCTGGCAAAACTTCCTCTAGTCTTATACCTGGATACAAAGAGGGGTGCAGCAGGCAACATCCCCAGAAACCCCAACATGTAGTGTGTCATATGCACAGCAAGAAAAGCACTCCCAGAACAAAGTGGCGGGACAAACTAGAGACTGGGCGTCAGGCATCCTTCTGGGTTGCAGGCCCAAGGCCCACAGAGACAGGGCCGGACACAGTGGAACTTCTAAGTACGATGCGCTTGGTAAGTTATTGTGCGTTAATGTCTAGATAGGCAGCATACCACACACGATAAGAATCCATAGTACAAGCTACGACCTTCTTTAGGTTGAGTATTTTGCTTCACAATTGTGACAAACTCGCACTGGACATGCACGAAACTGAAACGACAACCGATCTGCATCAGGTGCCATCAGTACGTAATAAGCATGTGCAGCAACAACCTAAAATCCCATGTGCAATACCCCAACTACTTGCAGAACGCTTTGTAATGCAAGCTCAATGTCGATATGCAGTTTTGTGCACTCTGTAGCATGGTGCTTGTATGCAGCTTCAGTGCTCCTGGCTCGCCATCTCTTTGGTTTCGTCCAGGGAGATTCTTAGTACCAGACGTACCCAACTCAACACATGCCGTACGTTTTCTCTCAGAAGTTTCCTACGTGGAAGTGCAACCCTTTCATTCCTCACGCTCTGGTGAAGTACGTGCGAATGACTTCTTGAAGGAGCTGCGGGAAAGAAACCGCCGGAGTTCTTCAAACAATACTGCTTAGCCCGATGGAGCAAAATAAACACACATTATGATAGTGACGGAACGTATGAAGTCCTGCCTATGGTAGACTAAGTGAGCATGGGAAAACAGCTTGCGGCAAAGTTGTGAACACTCTTGGAGGTTCGTGGCGGGCTAAGCCATGTTTGCACCCAGGGGCAAGTGCGCACAAAATCAGCTTGAAAAAATGTTTCCTGCTGACAACCCCACATATTGCCACGCAAAATCCTAAACCTTGCATCTAGCGTATACATAGATGCAAACACACACCCTACACCGTTGTATAATTCGTGACACCACTTAGATGCATCCATGAACCACCAACAAGGCGGCCGTTAAGCTAGCCCAAACAACCCCCCTGCAAATAGTTTTTTGATTCCAGCGAGACTGATTTCACTGTGGGGCGGGGGTGTAAGGAGTGATACGAGCAGCAGCTGTCGACGTGTAATGTTTCAGTAGCCCATGCAACCACAAACCCTAAACGTACGAAGCTGGTGGCACCACACAGATTCAGAAGCCGCGTCCAAACACAGCCCCCAGTCCGTCATTACCCCAAACCAAGATGGAACCCGACAAAAAAGCATTCCTGCGATTTTGAATCAGGCTGTATCGCTGGGCTCTTTGTTACTTTTGGGTAGAGCAACTTCAGGTTTGAGCTAAACCCAGGCAGGGAAGGCCATTGACACTTGAAGGTTTTGTAGTTATTGACACAGCTACCAATGAGGTTAGAATCTATACAGGCCACAAGAACTAAAGTAGGAGTATAGTATAACTGTTCGGGGAGCATACCTTGTGACAAAACGGAAGGACTTATCAGCCCGACTGCCCTCACAACCCAGCTTATCAATGTCCACCAGCTTTCCAATTAGTAGTTGAAGCACTGACTGTCGGATCGCCAACGGCGACAGGTCTTACTTCAACAGAACACTCAGAAACACCTACCTGTACAGGTACGTTTAGTCTGAGCAGCCTTGTTTGCTCGCTGGGCTCTTGCTACAACCAAGAGGTCCTAGATGCGGTTGCTCACGATGGACCGATCGCCCTTGGGGCGTACAGGCTCTCTACGTGATCCAACCGTCCATACGAAGGTCCTGCACTCCATGCTGGGACTGGGATGTTAGCATGCATCTGTCACGAGCCTGGCAAAGTTTTCACTTGCCAGAACGGGCCGATGCATTGAGCATGACAAGGAGCAGACTTTGTCCAACTCCGCATGTGGAAAACACATGACAAAATTCAATTCGACACCTGGGTCATGGCTGCGTTTCACACGGAAGGGGCTGCTGGCTCAGCAGCCTTCACAGCCGGCCCGCTGAACATTCCACCGTGTTCCGCCCAGTAGTAACATGGCGTCAGCAAAGTCCAGAACATTACATAGCCAGCATGAATCTGGAACGGCAGAAGAGGGTCCTGCGATATGAAACTTGTCACTATAACATGCTTTTCACGGAAGATAATGCCCTCACTTGAGATGAAACAGCAACATTCACTCTGTGGCAGTCCTCGATCGGGCGGTAGAAGCCGAAGCCAGCAATGACGGCACCCAGGTTTCCGCCCGCACCGACCAAGGCGGACACTATGGCCAACTGTTGCTTATTCATAAACGGCACGATACCATAAGAGGTCCCCTCAGCCATCTGCACGAACAAGCTGAAGCACAACAGCACTGCGAGCGCAACATACCACGGCTGGCTGTTGTCCACAAGTCCGAAGCAAAATAAGAAGATGGCTTCGAAGAAGAGCGACAAGAACTGCGCCCAAATGCGGCCGCGGAAGCCGAACTTCTTGAAGAGCAGGTCAGAGGTGATGCCTCCCAAGCTACGGGCGAAAAGGTTCATCAAGCCAAAGGAGCCCGCCAATGCTGAAGCATCTGCTGCCGCCAGCTGGAAGTACGTGCGAAAGTGCGTCGCCAACTGATTATTCATCGCTAATTCCTAAGTGTGCATCTTAATGGTGTGAATTGGATAACGAACATTCCTTAAAGAACACAATTTTGAAAATCATCAACACACATGTTTAGTACAGCGAATTAACCTCACGGACTACGTAGACAACCCCAAACCGCGTTCATGCTTGTGTGCTGGCACAACCGGCTGCTCAAAGTGTTATGTGCCCTGAAAATGAAACGTCATTTAAAAACAACAGCAGCCGCCCGAGCATGAATGCTGCCGAATCTCAGCGCCGAAGCACGCTGAGTACTGGGCAATCATCACGACCACACGAACGTCCTCAAACAAACAGCGATTCTCTATGCATGTCGACATTTACTATTTACACATTATTCTCCATCCAGCCATACGGCTTCCTGTCCTTGAGCACTTCACAATAGTCCATCATGGATGGTTTCTGGGTTTTGCCCGTGACGGACACGTCGAAGCGCCTGGCGGCGGAGACGTGTTATCCTTGCTTGCTTTATGTCTGAGTGTGACACCGCGCCTAGCCGTTGGCGTGTCCCAGCACAAGAGCTTCAAGCTGAGAGCGACGATCAAGAACATCACTGCTGGCACGATCATGGCCAGACGCCAAGCGGTGTCCGGGGCAATGCCAGACTCTACCATGGGGTTGAAGAGGACACTCATCATGAAGATTTGCGTGACCTTGGAAATCACGGTTTGGTGTGCTGTCGTATAACAATGAGGAACGTACGTCCTATTTAAAACGTTTTTATATTGTAAAACAAAGATTGCGGTGTCTGCTTACGACTTTTTCCCGGATACGCACTCCAGCGTCATAACACGCACGCATAATGCCTGGTGTTGACACGGGCTTGGTCTGAAATCATATCTCTTTACAGGTGGACCCAGAACCACGGACCGGGTGCCAATCTTCAGCACTTGGGAATCCCATAATGATGTTATGGGGAACTCTCTGAAGGGCCCTTTGGTGTCCCAGTTTGATTCCAAGCTTTAGGACTTTAGGACTGACTTGTTGGGACACACACATCATGCATCCCACAAATCTAACCAAAAGATATCACGGGGCCTCTGTGTTTGCAGCTGAGGAGGAGGAGGAGGAAGAGGTTGGCACGCGGGTGTACCCGCTGCCTAACTACCGCTTCCCCCGCCAGCATCTTGTCTCGCATACTCCTTCCACCGAAAATCTTAAAAACAAGCTTCCTAACACTGACTGAGTTCAAGCTGCAAAGTCGACTGGCATCACTCAGTTCCCGTCGTCAACAAAGTCGTCACTTGGGGATGCAGGCTACGATCCGCAAGAATCAGGAGAATGTACATGGCCATCACGGACCACAGATCGCATGGTCCCCTTGGAGCATGGGCGCAGAAAACAGATCGCGCGTCGCGGCCAGACAGCTATGCGCCCACCAGCTGCTCATCTCGTTAATCTTTTTTTTTTACGCTTGTTGGGAATGCCATGCTTCCCAGCACTATAAAACAGCTGGCAAACCTCAGGCAATCGAATGGCCGGCTGCAACATCCTTCTTTCGGCTCGCGGATCTGAGAAAGCACTATGCACATCCTCACGAAAAACAGACACATACAGGACAAGAATGGCTGAATCAACGCCTGCTGCGCCGCAAACAATCATGAAGATGAAGTTCTGACGTCTTCAACTTGCAACCAAAAATGATTCGGGCTCCTTCACCCTTTCAATTCTGCCCGGCAATACCAACCACGCCAACGAAGGATCAAGAAGCAGTGGCTTAAAGTGTCCCGACGCCTGGCGTGAAAGCTACAACACAGCAGACTGTCGCAGTCTGTTTGCTGGCCACAAAAGCCACAAGCACTTGGGGATCCAAGCATCTATCGACACAAAAACGGAATCCTCATTGATATCCTCGCCTCCTCGCATGTATCTTTTAAACTCAATGCTCTTGGCCAATGCTCGCTGCAGAACCTCTTGGACCTTCTCTTCGGTCGATCTTTCTCGAGGCATTGTGTTGTGAAGCATCTTGTGCGCAAACCTGTTGCTAACCAGGCCATAAAACCCCAAAACAGCTGCCACGCAGTTCCGACAATTGGGAACTGGCTGTTGTTGGTAGATGCTAGGCCTGAGGACCTTGGCACCTCAAGCGGCAGCTAGAACCTGCAGCGCCCCCTGGAGGTGGGAGCTTGCAACCAAACAACTGTTCGAACCTCAGTAAGGTGGCGAAACACAGATTCATCGTAGTCCGCCTCTTGCTGCGGCCAGCCCAAGCGTCTCTGCAGGATATCATCAGGCGCACGGGGTCGCGACTGCTGGAATCTACTGTACTGCCAGGTAAGGTGCTCCCAGTCACGGAAAACATCGGCCCTGCCACAAAAATCACAACCTTGTCTAATGGCCCTCAAATGCAAATTGATACACTGCAAGTGACACTGCTGCACCAGTCAAGACGGCTCTGCCGTGGCCGTTGCTTCTGTCCAAATACTTCTGCGCAATTTTGAAGCGCTGTGGTTGCGGTACGTGGGCAAGAAGCAAGCTGTCCCGCCTGCCTTTCTGCAAGAAGCACTGCCAGTGATGAGCGCACCAGATCTCACGAACTTGGCGCAAAACCTGGTGCTCATTATCTCTGGTCAAGTGGATTGAACGGCCGTCGCTGGACCTGAATGTCCAGGGCCCTTGCCACTGAAAGCCCCAGGAGCTGAGCTTGTTGCCGACAACACCTATCCACTTACTGCCAGCGCGCCAGGTAAGGCCGTGGCTTAAGGCCCTGGAACGCCTGCTGCCAGGCCTGAAAATCCAAGCACAGTTTGTGGCCATCGAAAATGACCCTTAGATCTCTGGAAGCCATGTGGTGCACGGATGCTACTTTGCAATAGCTAGCGTAGAGCTTGTTGAGGACTCTTTCCGGCATGGCTCTGAACCACCATCCAAAAGCAAGTTTGGGAATGACCCTCGTTCTAAACAGATGGGCGCGCACAGCTATGCCCACAGGTGCCCTGACAATGCGTTCACTGCGGTACAGGGCAGCATCGAGGCGTTGCTGGCGCGTGATAGCTGTCTGTCATCACACTGGACCCGCACTCCAATGATAGGAAAAGCTCAGAGACAACCGACTGCTGCGGGACTCCTCTGCGCAAGAGGTCCTTGCACTGATGGTAGTCCCAGGCAAGGGCCTTCAGCTTACTCAGGTTCTCCCTGAGTCCAAGCCTATGGCTCCAGTGCTGCCAGAGTTGCTTTGCCTGTAACGCTTGACGGACTGTGTCGGCGTCATCGATGTAGATGCTTTGCACAACCTGAGTAGAGGCGGAAACATCGCTCACTGCATCAATGAGGATGAGCATCAATCCCAGAGGGCTGGCAGGGTCGCCCTGCGGCAGAGCAGGTTCTCGCCAGTTGCAGGAAACGTTGCTGATTGCACCAAACATGCTCAAGGAGTCCAAGCAAGGGGCCCGGCCACTGGTGCTGCCGAAGTAGCTCTAAGGCTAGCAAAGGATGGGCCGAATCAAAACACTTGGAAAAATCAAGGGCAAGCGCAGGCAAGTTGTTCTCAAGACAAACTGCAAGGTGACCAAGGACGGCGCTGACGCTACGTCCTCGCAAGGCTCCGTGGCACTGCTCAGGGGCGATGGCCACACTCCAATCTCTGATCGCAGGCTGACGCATGACAACTCTCATGAAGAGTCTGCACCAGACAACCATAACAGAAATCGGTCTCAGATCTTTGGGCTTGACAGGCCAAGAAGGTCGGCTTGAGTTTCTTTGCGCAGGTGCACCTGGCGCATCTGTCGCCAGGCTTGCGGCCAGGAGCCTCTATCGCCCCGTCGTCCCAGAACCTCCCGAACACCTCAAAAATGCCTTCGGGCAGGCGCGCAACATCCAGTTGTCAGGGCCGTGTGCACAGCCTGCTTGCCGGTGACCTGCTGCAACCAAATCCTGGGTAGTGGGTAGCCAAGGCACATCAGGAAGGGCCCATGCACTGGTCCTCTGTCAGGCCGTCTCTAAGCTCGTGAAGGTACGGCGGGGTCTGGCCCATATAGCGCCCCAGAATGGAAGGCCTCGACGTCCGTGGGCAGGGCTGTCCTCGTCGACAAGTATGGTAGGCGCCGGCATCGTAGGGTGGCCCTTGACCCATTTGGCGGCGTGCTTACCACACTCATTGATGTCAAAGCCGGTGCAAAGTCTCAAGCAGGGCCTGCTCTACTGTGTGCTCTCCATTGCGCCATCCCATCCAAACGAGACGGGTGGACCATGAGCTGCAGATACTGGAGATGAGCTGCTGGTCGCATCTTAAGTCTGCCAAGAAGCCTTATCTAAATTCAAGACCCATGTTCTATAGGATTGCCGAGAAATGTCCCCTCGGCACGCGTATCATTTAAAAACGGAACGCGTATCATATTATTCTTCCAATTACGGTCGTAAACGGCAATTTTACGGTCGTAAACGGCCGTTTTACGATCGTAAATTGTTGTTGTAGCGTAGCGCACGGCCGATTTACGATCGTAATTCGCGTTTTTACGGCCGTAAAAGGCGAGCCACTGATACGTTATGCGAAAAACGTCTGATACGTAAGGGGTATGGTCTGGTGTATAGAACCCACCTGCACATGGGTCTTGAATTTAGCTACAAGAAGCCGCCTGAGCCGTCGCTTGTAGAGACTGCCTTGTTGCTGCGCTGGGGCCGCGAGTTGCAGTAGTAAAGCTGGCCAAGCTGCCCTTGCTACCTCCGCGCTGGCGTGAGGGTCCGGAAGGGCACGGTCTTGCTCGTCCCAGGCTCGCTGCAAAGCTTGCTGCCAGGCGCCGAGGGTGATGTCAGCAGGCCTAGTGAAAGAGGAGGCGCTGTCCAAAGTTGCTGCGCTTTGTGTTCTGGTATGGATCCAAAAATCAAAATCAACGCCCTTGTGGCCACTGAAAACTTCCTCCCAGAAGGTCTGAGGTCGGCCTTGAACGTCCGCTGTGCCAAAGCCGTAGTCGATAGCACGCTGGCCATCCCACCTGGCAAGGGCAAAGAGATCAGGATCTTCACTGTCAGGGTTTGCCCACAGGCGGCGTTCTGCGGTGACGCCGGGGTGCTCCTCAAGCTCCAGGCTCCAGTCGCCAAGACAAACCACACTTAGCCCTCTGGCTCTTGCAACCACGAAGAGGCCGTCCACGAAGTTGCGAAAGTCAGCATCATGAATGGCGGTGGGTCTTCTCCACGCAGATATCCAGAGGGTGCTGTGTAGCTGGATCGCGTAGACCTCGCCATCCTCAGCATTGTACGTGTCATAGGCAACTGCAGGGATGGTTCTTCTGACAAGCCAGCCAACACCTCGAACTCGTTCTCCTCTACGCGGAGGAGGTCAGGAACGAACAACTTGTACCCAAGAGCTTCAGCCCTGGCGGCCGCCGCAGCCCTGTCCGCGCCATAGAGGCCGCCCTCCTGAAACGCAATGGTGTCCGTCCTCTCCCTGAGTGAGGGCAAGGTAGCGAGCATGCTCCAAAAGTGGTTGCTGCCATTGATGTTGACGGTAGAAGCCCTCAACAGTCCAGGATTAGGCTCCTTGCCTTCCCTAACAACTTTGGCCCTCTGGTCATCTCTAACATGCTGGCGCAGCGCCAAAGACTTTTGATCGCGGCGGGCCTTGCGTAGGGCCGCCCTCTCAGCAGTCTTGGTTTTTTTAGGCTGACGCCCTAGCTGCTTTTTGAGCTGGAGAAAGGTGCGGTCAAAGAGCTGG